CTGACCGTTACGTGAGTCACTTTGAGACCGATGGGCCCCATGTCCTGTTGTACTTCGACTCGGTGAGTGGGGAGAAGTGTTGTAAGGGTCAGATGATGTAGTAGCTGGTGATGAGGGCGCCATGTGGGGAGGTGGCTGGGAGGCAGAGAGCCTTGGAGAACTCAGGTCCTGCCACAGCTCAATGCAAGGATGGGTCTGTGAGTTCAGCGTGGCGACCATCAGCCTTCAAGGGTTTATGGGGAGCCAGGGAGAGGTGGAGACCACCATGGACACTGTGCTCCTGGGAAAGGAGAGGTGGCCGGGTGAGGCGGGGTTGGTTCAGAAGCTAACCCACGTCATAGAGGGTCTCACAGGGAATGTGTGCCTGTAGTGAAACTCAGCCGAGGGCCTTGGGCGGTGAAGACTAGGACAAGGTCCGTCTTAGCAGTGAAGTCATTGGAGACCTTGGAGACCGGTGCTTAGAGTCTAGAGACAGGAAGATGACAGACCATGAAGGATGATGGAGATAAGGTCATGGGAACCAAGCAGGAACCGGGCAGGCGAAGGCAACCAGCGGCCCGGCCCTGAGCAGGCTTCTGTCCTGGTGCCAGGTCCCAACCACCCGGGAGTGTGTGGGCTTTGGAGCCCTGCAGGAGGTGGCCGTGGGGCTGGTGCAGCCGGCCAGCGCTGTCCTATACGACTACTACAGTCCCGGTGAGCACTTGGGATGCTCTGACATGCAAGATCATGGGGACTGACCCTCTCATTAGGGATACCATGGTGCGGGGGAGACCTGGGCTCCACGAGATGCTGAGGCAGAGAGGAGAGGCACGGGCCTCACTCCTTGCTGGTTTTCTCTAGATCACAGGTGCTCTGTGTTTTATGCTGCACCTACTAAGAGCAAGCTCCTATCCACCTTGTGCTCTGCAGACGTCTGCCAGTGTGCTGAGGGTGAGATGAGGCCTGGGTGGGGCTGGGAAGATGGCTGGGGAGGCCAAGCTGGTCTCATCTGACACTTGACCTTAGGGAAGTGCCCTCGACAGCGACGCTCACTGGAGCGAGGGGAGCAGGACAGGGATGGCTACAGGATGAAGTTTGCCTGCTATTATCCCCGAGTGGAGTACGGTTAGTCCCCCTTGGCCCACATCCTGCTTGGCACCCGCACCCTGGGCTTCCTAGGTCTCCTGCTTCCCCTAAGCCCACCCGTGGCCTCCTTGATTCCCCACTCCTCCTTCTTTTTCCTCCCCCTCCCAGGCTTCCAGGTTAAGGTTCTCCGAGAAGATGGCAGAGCTGCCTTCCGCCTCTTTGAGACCAAGATCACCCAAGTCCTGCATTTCAGTAGGGAGGAGAGGCGGGTGGGCTGGGGAGTGCTGGAGGCTGAGGTCTGGGTGTGGGGCCTCTTGGAATTGGGAAAGCTCAAAATCCGAATGCAAAGCCCCTGTCCCCCCACCTCCCCATCCCCTCCCCTCCCCATCCCCTTGGGAACCTGGGCTTGTTCGTAAATAGTCAGCAACAACTCCTTCTGTCAGGATCTGCACAGAGCCCTGACCTGGGCTCCTGGCCCTCCCTTCTCCTCTGATGTCTTCTGTCTCTCTATCCCCCCAGCCAAGGATGCCAAGGCTTCGGTAGGTCAGACCCGCAACTTCCTGGTCCGGGCCTCTTGCCGTCTTCACCTGGAGCCTAACAAAGAATACTTGATCATGGGTCTGGATGGAGTGACCAGTGACCTCAAGGGAGAGTAAGTCATCTGACCCTTCCATCCCCTGCTCTCCTCCTGTCTGTGGCCTTCCTTTGGGGACAGATCCTAGGCACCTAGCTCTGCCCCTCCAAAGCCAAGTGCCTCCCGTACCTGTCCTGACCCCTCCCGTGTCACCTGCAGCCCTCAGTACTTGCTGGACTCAAACAGCTGGATCGAGGAGATGCCCTCTGAGCGCCTGTGCCGGAGCACCCGCCAGCGGGCGGCTTGCGCGCAGCTCAATGACTTCCTCCAGGAGTACAGCAGCCAAGGGTGCCAGGTGTGAGGGTGCAGGACTCCGGACCCCTGAACTCAGCCCCAGGGCCAGGTGTGAGCGTGCAGGACTCTGGACCCCTGAACTCAGCCCCAGGGCCAGGTGTGAGAGTGCAGGACTCCGGACCCCTGAACTCAGCCCCAGGGTCAGGCATAAATAAAAGCTTTTGACAGCAAAGTGTCCCTGTGTGTCTGTCTGTAGGTAGAGCAGTCCACCACCACCCAGGTTTTGCTGGGTTTGTGTAATTGTGGACTCAGAGTCTTGGGGAGCCTTGGGTTGTAAAGCTCTGTCTGAACCTTCCTTGAGGCCTCTCTAGGACTCAGTCCCTCTTGGGGCCCAATAGGCAGTGCCCAGGTGTCCTATTGCTGGGCGTCATGGTCACTCGCCCTTGGGACACCTCCTCTTCAGCCCACGTCCTCCACGCTGTCTGTGTAGTTGGAGTTGTGGGGTCTGTGGGCTTGGGCTGTGTCATGGCCTGCTGACCTTGTGGCCTTCGGCAATTTTTCTGGAGTTGTGCAACAACTGATGGCAGTCATCTGGGCACTGACTGTAAACAGGCCAAAGGTTGACTGTGTTGTTCCCAAATACTCAAGGGGAAACACATCTCACAGGGCCAACCCTCCCCACCCTGTCTGCCTAGCTTTCCCCAACCTTGGTGGCAATCTTTGGTTATTCATGGGTGACCTAGAATTCTGCCCAAGGAGATCTGCTGAGATCAGATGAACCTCTCATTCCTTGTTCTGCTCAGTGATTGGTACCAGGCCCATAGCTGCTTATTCCAAGAGCTCATCACTGGAGACAGAAATGAGACTAGGTAGTTCCTGTGCCCTGAGGGAGGCGAGATGTCAGGGTTTAACCCAGTAAGGAGAGCACTAGAGGGGCATGGAGTATTTCTGGAAGAGCACAGGGGAAGCCTTTTTCTGTTTCCCATCCCTGACCTCTGGCCTACCAAGGCCAGCAAGGTCCCCTCTTCTCCTTTCCTAGTTTCGGGTTCTCTGAGACTCCTCGCACATCTATGGTGATTTTTTTTTTAAGTCAGCTGGAGTTGGTCATCTTATTGTTGCAGCCAAGGAGGGCAGCTAACAGTAGTTAGAGGTACAGATTCTGCACCTGCTGCCCGCTGGAGCCTGGTTCTGCCTGAGCAGCTGTGTGCATGCGCAAGCCCCTCGGCCTTGGCCCCAAGCATCTTCATTAAAAACAGGGACAACGGTGTAGCCTGTGTAGCATGGTTGGGGGCAGTTAGGAGAGTGTCTGGTACACAATGTTCCAAAGTGGGCGGGCTGTGGCTTCTTGTCTCCTGACATTTTTCTGTGTGGTGCTGAGGAAAGAACCCAGGACCTCTCCGTGTGCGGTGAACACCAACAGAGCCTTGGCCTTGTTTCTTCTGAGACGAGGTCTTGCTACGTAGCCCAGGCTGACCTCAGACTCAATCCTTCTGTCCCCTACTAAGTGCTGAGATCCCAGGCAGTACCATGCCTCACTCTAAACGCTTCTGACAGTGCCATATACGGTGCCTCTTTAGGCCACATAATTAATGTCACTGGGCCAGGCATTGTGGTACATGCCTGTAATCCCAGCATTCGGAGATGGAAGCAGAGGGGTCACTTTTTTTTTGGTTTGGTTTTTGAGACAGGGTTTCTCTGTATAACAGTCCTGGCTGTCCTGGAACTCCCTTTGTAGACGAGGCTGGCCTCGAACTCACAGAGATCCGCCTGCCTCTGCCTCCTGAGTGCTGGGATTAAAGGCGTGCACCACCACCGCCTGGTGAGGGATCACTTTAAAGTCTTGGCTACATATTGACTTCAAGACCAGCCAGGGCTACATAGTGAAACCTGTCTCAAAAAAAAAAAAGTTTGGTTGTGGTGGTGTATAGGTTTTTTTTTTTTTTTGGTTTGTTTAGTTTTACACATACACATAATATAAAATATAATAAAGAAATGAAAAAACTAAAAAAACCCTGTTTTGTGTGCATGCAGTTCCCTCTGGAGCCAGAAGAGGGCACTGGAACTCCTGAACCAGAGTTATAGAAGGTTGCGGGCAGCCATGTAGATGCCGGGACCTGAACCCAGGTCCTTAGCAATGGCAGCCAACACTCTTAACCACTGAGCCACCTCTCCAGCCCCATGACACATGTTTGTCATTCCAGAAATGGGGAGGCAGAGACAGGAGCATCCCTGGGGCTCAGTGGCCAGCCTGCCTAGTGGATTCAGGGAGCTCCCGGGAAAAGAAAGCTCAGGGGTCTTTTCATCCGGACAGACCACCTGAGGTTGACCTTTGGCCTCCACACATGCACCTCCTCTGTCCCCACAAAAAGCCTCAACCAAAGCCAAGAACAACGACAAAGCATTGTGGGGGGGGGGGGCGCAGGTACGGTGACATTCCTGTCATCCCAGCTGTCTTGAGGGGCTGAGGGAGGATTCAAAGTTTGAGGCCCACCTGAGCAACATGGTGAATTCAAGGTACCCTGGGCCACTTAGTGAGACCCTGTCTCAAAATTTAAAAAAATGGGGGCATAGGAGTGTGAACACAGTTGGTCAGGGAGGGCTTACCCATTTGTATCACAATGAAGTAGTAGTAATAATAATAAATAATAATAAAATACTGGTAGGGACTATAGGCAAACCTGAAAGGCATATTGGGCAAAGACTACCATTTATGTCTTTTCTCTGGGACAAATTCACTCCACTCAGCTGGTCCAAGGTGAGGCATGCTGGGAGGGGGCCGGGCTCAATGTGGACCCCTTGGGCCACTTGGCTGACATGTGTGACGTTAGGAAGCTGATGGAGATGCAGAAAGGTCAGGGTCTCTTCCTCTCCTCTTGATGGATGGTCCCATCTTTGATCCATGGATCTCCAAGGCCGACGGGACTGTGCCAATTTGAAAACACACTGCTGTGTGTGGGGGACAGTGGAAAGGGACCTGAGGCTAAGAAAGGTCTGAGTCACAGCGCAATGGGTGGCTGGGGCCAAGAGCTATAAAAAGCCTTCAGGGCCCCTGCACGAGCGTCCCACCATGGCACTGCCTGGGCTGTGGCTGCTGCTGCTGTTTCTGCTGCTGCTGATAGCTGGCACCCGCTGGCTGTGGGGTCACTGGAAGCTCTGGGACCTCCACCTCCCACCTCTGGCCCCGGGATTTCTGCACTTTCTACAGCCGAACCTCCCTATCTACCTGCTTGGCCTCACTCAGAAACTCGGACCTGTCTACAGGATCCGCATGGGGCTGAAAGGTGAGCCAGCCTTGTCTCTTCCTGTGACCTATCCCTCCCTGCTGACGCCTGCTCTTTCCCCCTAGATGTGGTGGTGCTGAATTCTAATAGGACCATTGAGGAGGCCCTGATCCAAAAACGGGTGGACTTTGCTGGCCGACCCTGGATAATATATGGTAAGGGTTGGGGGCACTTTTTTTTTTTCCTTCTTAAGATAGGGTCTCACTATGTAGCCCTGGCTGGCCTGAAAAATCACTATGTAGACTAGGCTAGCCTCAAACTCACAGAGATACACCTGTGTGGCCACTGCCCCGGGCTACTTCTTGGACTGGGAGAGGCAGGTCAGGCCTTTGGTTTCCTTGCTTAGTTGTCTCTCTTCCCGCCACCCCTCCCGCAGAAAAGCTAGACTTGGACTTGTCACTAGGTGACTACTCTCTAATGTGGAAGGCCCATAAGAAACTCTCGCGCTCAGCTCTGATGCTGGGTGTGCGAGACTCCATGGAGCCCCTGGTAGAGCAGCTGGCCCAGGAATTCTGTGAGGTGAGGCTGAGCTCCTGTGGTCTGGCCCTCCTGGGGTCGGCTTCCTTCTCCCCCAGTGCCCCTCTGTCCCCACAGCCCATGTAGCCTGTCTCCCCTCCGCAGCGCATGAGAGCCCAGGCTGGCACCCCCGTGGCCATCCATGAGGAATTCTCTTTACTCACGTGCAGTGTCATCTGCGGCCTCACTTTCGGAGACAAGGTCAAGGCTGCCCTCTTGCCCCTCAGGCCCATCCCTCAGCCCCTCCTGACCCTTCGCTGGTCTTGAACTCAAAGTGCGTCCTCCCCTCCTGGCAGGATGACACTCTGGTACACACCATTCACAGCTGTGTCCAAGACTTGTTGCAAGCCTGGAACCACTGGTCCATCCAAATCTTGGATGTAATTCCCTTTCTTAGGGTGCGAGCACAGCCCAGATTCCCCTGGGTTGGGGTGGGGTTGGGGGGTGGCTGGTCTCCATCTCGAAGCTGACTCCCCTTCCTGTCCCAGTTCCTCCCCAATCCAGGCCTCTGGAAGCTGAATCGGCTCCAGGAGACGAGGGACCACATCGTAAAGCAGCAGCTGAGGCGGCACAAGGTGAGCAGTGCAGGGGGACCAGCTCCCCTGGCCTCGGCTGCCCCCGCACCGCTGCTGGGCACTCAGCCTGCTCCCCCTGCCCTCTGCAGGACAGCCTGGTAGCCGGCCAGTGGAAGGACATGATTGACTACATGCTTCACGGGCTGGAGCAGCAAAGAGAGGGGAAAGGCGCAGGACCGCTCCGGGAAGAGCACGTGCACATGTCAGTGGTGGACCTTTTCATCGGCGGCACCGAGACCACAGCCACCACGCTCTCCTGGGCTGTGGCTTTCCTGCTTCATCACCCTGAGGTGTGCTGTGGGAGGAGAGTGAGGCTCCTTCTGGCACCTTAGCCCATTTGCTCTGCTCTTGACTGCCTGGCCTGGGCTATGCTCACAGAGGGGGCTCTAGGCTCAGCTCGGTGGCTGGATGGAGGGGCTGTTGTGAGCCACCCAGGGCAGAGCTTCGTCTCTAGACTCCAGCCTTGCCCTTTCTTCTCAGATCCAGAAGCGACTTCAGGAAGAATTAGACCTCAAGTTGGGCCCCAGTGCCCCCAGCTCCCAGATCCTCTACAAGAACCGAACGCAGTTGCCTTTACTTATGGCCACCATCACTGAGGTGCTGCGCCTGCGGCCCGTGGTGCCCCTGGCCTTGCCCCATCGCGCCACTCGGGCTAGCAGGTGATTCCCTGGGTTAAGGGCTGAGTGGGGAATCCTCCCTCCACCCTGCCCCTGGGTCCTGGATGGCTTCTGACTCCACGTTCCCTCAGCATCTCTGGCTATGACATCCCCAAGGACACAATCGTCATCCCCAACATCCAAGGCGCCAACCTGGATGAGATGGTCTGGGAACTGCCCAGCCAGTTCCAGCCTGGTATGACGGGTCAGGCACGGGAGTGGAAGAGCCCCAGCCTCGGTTGGGACGCACTTCCCTAGCCATCTGTCCACTACCCACAGATCGCTTCCTGGAACCTGGCAAGAACCCCAGAACGCTATCCTTTGGCTGTGGGGCACGCGTGTGCTTGGGAGAGCCTCTGGCACGAGTGGAGCTCTTTGTGGTGCTGGCGCGCCTTCTCCAGGCCTTCACGCTGTTGCCGCCACCAGATGGCACCCTGCCCTGCCTAAAGCCCCAGAATTATGCTGGTTTCAATCTCTTGATTAATCCCTTCCAGGTGTTGCTGCAGCCCAGGAACCCGGTGCCCCAAGACCAGGGCCAGACCCCTTGACAGGATAGGACCAGTACCAGCCTCGTGCCTCAGTTTCTCCTTTATTGCTCCGTTACCAACCCCTCCCCTCCCCCCTGTAAACATGGTGCTGTGAGGTCGTGGTAGAGAAGGCTTCCTTGGTGAGCTAGGCAGTAGAGGCACAGGGGCTCTTCTCTGGGCGCGACCTCTCAGTGCTCGGCGGCAGTCATACCGGGGTTGTGAGCGAAGTGGGCAGCAGGCTCAGCTCCCCCTGGCGGGGGCCTGGAAGTTTCTGGGTCTCAGCTTCATTTCCGTGAAGGGCACCGAGTACTCAAAGCCCTTCCAGTGGTACCAGCTCACTCCCTGAGGGAAGAGTTATCAAGGGAGTAGCGTCAAAGCCGCCACCTCACCAATGGCGCTCGTCCATCCCCACCCTGCTCCTGCAGGTGACCCCCCCCCGGGACCCGCCCATCTCCCTCATGCTCCCTGCCTCACCCTCAGCCGCAAGGACCGAGGCTTAATCCTGAGCTGGTGCCTCCTACCCACTAATAAACAGTCTTTTCAAGCTTCCTCAGTGAGGTTGGCACTATGGTCCCCATTTCACAGACGAGCCTCTGAGGCCCGAGAAGTTCAGTCATTCCTGTGACTCCAGCCCAGCCTGCTGCCTCCGCGGCCCCCACCTGGTGGTCCACCGTGCTCCCGTAGAGCCCATTGAGGTTGGCGTAGTGACAGTTCCTGTACCACCAGGCCCCGCGATAGGACACAGCGCAGGAGATGAGCAGGTTGTTGGGGTCTCGATCACGGGCAGAAAAGACACTGCCGCTGTGGTAGCTCATAGAGTCCCCTGGTAGAGCACGGGAAGGTGTGGTGAGGACCGCCCTTGGGCCTACCCCACCCCGTCCCAGGCCCGCCCTTACCTGCAGTGCCGTGGTAGCCCTCCAGGTGTAGACGGTAGTTCTCCATTGCTGAGTCCACACGGAAGAAGTCATACTGGGCGAACACGGCTTCGTTTCCAGCCCGCAGGTCCACACGCATAGAGTAGTCTCCAGCCTGCGTCAGGCTGTGTAGGACCTCATTGCCTGGGGTGGAGCATGCTTCATCAGGGTCCTGGGGTCCACAGGACTGCCAACCCTTCCCTGGTTCCCCAGCCCTATGAGGCACGGACCCAGCCAGAATTCCCTGGAGATGTTCCCAAAACCATGGGCATACTCCTCCCAGTCTCTCCAGAAGTCCGTCTGTCCGTCCATGCGGCGCTGGAACACCTGGAGAGCAGGCAGGGGCAGCATTAGCCTCTGGCTCCTGTGCATCAGCCCCTATGCTACACAACTACCCGGGCTCTGAAAGCAACCCACCAGCCAGCCGCCTCCATCGGTCTCCATGTCACAGAACACATCCAGAGGCCGCTCACGGTTGCCGTTGAGGAAGATGGTGGTGGTCTTTGAGGAGCTGGCCCCATTCTGCATCTCCTCCCCACAGTCCCGGGGGAAGGGGATCCGCAGTCCACCTGCAGGGAGGAGGTGGAGAGTCTGTCTGTCCTCTTTCCAGGGTCTCAGACTCCAACTGCCCACCTAAGCTCGAGCCCCAGTGTCAGTACCAGTAGTAAAGGAAGTGGACACAGGCGGCGTGAGGCTCTCGCCCCAAACAGCCCGGAGCTGGGCATTGTAGAAGGTGGAAGGGAAGAGGCGGAGAAGCCGATGTGAGGTGGTTCCTGCTGGAAGCAGGATCTCCTGGAGACAAAGGACACATCAGCAGAGGGCGAGATGGACACTCAGTGGGAGGGCCAGAGGTGGCTCCTCCAAATCCAGCTGTGGAAAGCAGACGGCCAGTGAGGCAGGGGTGGGGTACCTGAATCTGTCCTCCGGGAGTGTCAAAGCTGAGCAGGTAGCCTGTGGGTGGGACTTCGGGCTTAGTCCAAGTGAGCAGGGCTGTGCGAGGGGTCACTTCCTGGGCCTGCAAGTCCTGGGGGGCCTTCAGCCCTGGAAGGGGACATAGGAAGACAGAGGTGAGCCCATATTCGCTCCCTTGACACCCCCCCCCCACATGTCTATACCTGTGGTGAAGGTGATGCTGGCTGGGGAGGTGAAGTTAGGACCTCGGAGACCACGCACGGTGGCTGTGTAGTTGGTGTCAAGCGCCAGGTCTGTCAGTGGGTAGTCCACAGCGCTGCCAGGTGCGGAGGCCTGCAGAGCTGGGGCTGGGAGTGGGGGGGTGGGCATCACCTTCTGCCCATCCATGCCGCACCCTGCTGCCCCCACCTTGAACGAGTCCTCTTCAGAGGGGGCTCAGCCATGCTCACCTCCCGGGGATGCGACCTGGACGTTGTACTCGTCCACAGGCTTCTGGGGAGGTTTCCAGTGCAGCAGGGCAGACCCATCAGTCAAGTTCAATGCGCGCAGCTGGGTGGGACCATCAGAAACTGGCAGAAACGGGGAGCTCAGAGGCATCCCTGCAGCTCTTCCACCCTTAGCTCTCCCAGCTCCACTGCCTCCTTGCTCGTTGGTGGCCAGAGCCCCAGGGTCTCCTTTGCCCCTCTTCACCCTCACCATGCCCTTGTTTTCTCTTTCTCTACCTCTCATGGTGCTGGGGGCAGTCTTTCTTACCTGTAGTGAGGAAGCCTGTGAGAGGCTCACTCTCCTCAAAGCCACGGACAGAGACCACGGTCACCTCGTAGCGAGTGTCTGGGCTCAGCCCCTGGAGGGTCTGGGTCTGGGTCCGGCCGTCCACTACCACACTCTGCGGCTCTCCTACAAACATGGGTGGAGCCTAGGGGTCACCCAGGAGGCCCGAAAGCAGCTAGAGAATGGGCGGTGTGCAGGGGTGGGGTGGGCAAGAGAGGAGAGCTGAAGAGGACATGGCAGGAAGGGGTCATCACCTCCATCTGCTAGTTGGTAGGAAACCTTGAAGCTGTCCACCCTGGATGATGGCGGTACCCAGGTGGCTCTAGCTGATGTTTCCCCAATGTCACTGAACTGCAGGTCACGGGGGCTCTCCAGAACTGAGGACAGAAAGGGGGGGGTGGCACAGTGGTGAGGGCGTGGATAGCAGGTTCCTGCCTTTTCTCCCTGGGTGCTCTGGCTCCAGAGGCCCAGCACCCCCTCTGTAGGTTCCCAGGACAGAGGTCTCTCTCTCGGTGCTTTCAAGTCCTCTGCCCACTCACCAGGAGCCCTCCCCACCCCCACATGCTGGGTCCCACTCTGCAAAGTACAATGCTCTCTCTTCGGCGCCCAGCACCCAGCGTGGGTCCTCACCTGGGCTGAGGGTGCGGGCAGTGCCCTGGATGCTGTCTGCCTTGTGCGGCCCACGCAGCCCATACAGAGTAAGGCTGTACAGGGTCCCAGGACGCAGGTCCCGAAGCACGGCTGTGCGCCGTGTTCCTGGCACCATCAGCTCCCGCTGGAGCAGAGGACGAGGACGCGGCTCCAGGGTACTTGGTGAGGGGACCCCGAAGCGTAGTAGGAAGGAGTCAAAGGCCCCAAGCGGGGCCTCCCAGTTTAGCCGCAGAGAACTAGTGGTCACATCTGTCACTGACAGCTGGGACAGGCGGGGCCCCGGGTCCCCTGGGGTCTGACCAGCAGGGACTGGACCTGTGGGAAGTGGGTAGGAGGAAAGCGTTTGGAGACAGATCAATACCAGCCCCCAGTCTTGAAGCACGTCACTTCTCTCGTCCTACCCTGGTTCCATTGGTCAGAAAAGTTGGGCTAGTGAGGAACAGAGCCACAGGAGGGATGTTTGGTGGTCTGACAGGGAAGGAGAGGCCGGGCAGTGGGGGGCAAATGACCTCAGCTCCTCCTGGGTGCCTCCTCATGCCTTCTTGGTGGTAGCCGCTCCTGGGTGCCACTGTCCCCCCTCCCTAGCCCCCAGACTAGGATGGCCCGGGCCTGGCCCACCTGTGACACCCTCTGCGGAGACAGGTCCGTGCCGCATCCCTTCATGGAGGCCATAGAGGAAGAACTTGTAGGAAGTGCTGGGTTCCAGGCCTGAGATGAGGACCTTGTCCTGGTCTCCGTCAACAAGCAGGGCCTGGGGCTGCCCCTCTGTGTCCTGGTACTGCACCACAAAGGACTCGAAGGGACCCTGGGCCACACCCCAGGAGAGGCGCAGCGAGTCTGGGGTCGCCTCGGCCACCGTCAGCGTCCCCAGGCGGGGTGCTTCAGGGGACTCCGTGGGGCTTGGGGCTGACGTGTCCTCTTCTGGGGCTGTATGGGAGAAACCAGGGCAGAATCTTCATGGGGTGCTGTGGGGCCCTGTCTTTCCATCTTGCCCTTTGAAGGAAAGGCCATGAGTCTGGCCTGGCAAAGCAGCCCAGAGAGGAAAGGGAGGAGCGGGGGATCTTCTAGAACCTTCTGGTTCTAGAATTTGTTTTGCCCCTGCCATGGCAGTGCATCCTGAGACCCAGCCTGGGAAGCTGCTGTGTCTGCTCCTTGCTGTGTCTGGATCAGGGACTCATGTCCCCTCTCCCAGCCCCTGACACGTCGATCCCCCTCAGCAGTGGCCCCCCAGGCTCTGTCCTTGCTCCACCCTTAGCGCCTGTGCTCAGTGCTTTTGAGAGCAGCTGAGGGTGGCACTGGCTGGTGTACGTGCCTGGCCGTGTGCCCTTGGCCTGGCCAATCTGAAGTGGGTGTCAGTGGCCTCTGCCCATTGGACTTCCCAGTGATTTTCCATTTGAGAAACATCCCCGGCTCCCTAGAACAGGGAGGCAAGGGGACAGAGCCATTCCAGCGGGGTCAACGGGGTAGTGGGGAGCAGCACATGACGGGATGAGTGGAGTCAGGAGATCAGGGAACCCCAAGGCCTTTCCTTCCTGCCTGGCCTGGCTCCTGCTCTTTCAAATGACAGGTCAGCACCTGGGGTGGGCACAACCCCCCTTCTTTGGCTCTGGACGGGCCCCTGCCCTTCCCACCCACCCATCCACTCTGGTCAGTCCCTTTGTCTTCAGATTCCTCGGGTCTGTGGTCAGGCAGGGCCAGCCTCACCTGTCACTCCCAGGGCAGAGACGGGACCCAGGCGTTTTCCTCCAGAGAGTCCATAGAGCTGAAACTTGT